ATCCATCCATCCATCCATCCATCCATCCATCCATCCATCCATCCATCCATCAATCTATCTATCCCTCACCTATCCCCCATCCATCCATCCATCCATCCATCCAAACAGTGTCTGCCTGTCTATCTTGGGCAACTTGAGGGTGTGTGGGCTTCAACTCCCAGAACTCCTGGCAAGGAACCTCTGGGAACCGAAGCCCACACATCTTAAAAACAGTATTATTCTTCAGTACCAAGGAGAAACTTAGCCCCTTCCTGTTACCTTAATCTTTTCGCACTCCTTCTTCACACTGTCTCCATTTTCAATCACAAAGACTGCGCTTTTGTTGACTTCCTTGTCCGCTCTGTGCCGCAGCCAGTCCTCATATCCCTGAAGAAGCAAGCAGGTGGAATATACAGACCAGAAAACCAGAAAAATTCAATCTCAGAATGGAAGGGACAGAAGAAATGGGCTCCACATGTTTTAAAAACAGCCTTCCAGAGGCATACCCCTTTCTCTCTAGCTACAGGAGCTCCCAATTGTAGCAAGATAAACTTGGAATATCAAGAAAGTGGGTTCAGAAGGAGTGGATAGAAACGATCCTCTGTTTGCTGGGGATAAGGAGCAAGACTTACCTGTTTAATAGCTGTAATAATAATCACAAAGAAGAGAGGAAGGCCACTGGTCACCGGGCTGGTTGGTGTGTCCACTATCACCTAAGCAAAGATGCAGAAAAGCTACAGGATGGACCAATTTAAAGGCAACAGTTATTCCTGGATATCCTCAGGGATGGGCTTCAGAAATTTTAGCAACAAGTTCTCAGCCCGGTTGCTGGGTGGGTGTGGCCGTGATGGGCATGGCCTAGTCAGCCTCCTGCACCACGGTGGGGCAAGGGGAGTCTTTGCCCTCCCTGGGCCCCAAAGGCTTTCCTCGAGCCTCCAGGAGGACCAAAACAGCCTCCCCAGGTTCCAGGCGCTCTCTGGAAGTTGGAAATGGGCCCATTTCTGGACTTCCTGAACTTCCAGGAGGCCCATTTTTCGGGCTCCCCGAACCTCTGTGCATGCCCTGCACTTACCTGCATCCAAAACAGGCCACCTGGCAAATCCCGGGAGGGACAGTATGGGGTGGCCAGGAGTGGGTTATTGGGGTACTCCAAACTGCACAGAATCTTAGCTAGGGGCTCTCCCGATCACCTGTGAACCCCCAGCAGCCCAGCCCTGATTATCCTTCTAAATTGGGTGCCAACTGATGGAAGCATTTCTCCAACAAGCGAAGAGGTGATCCAAAGTCCAAAGAGCTTTCCCAAGCATGTTATAATGCAGGGGTTGCCAACCTTTTGGACCTCAGGGACCACCAAACTCATAATTTTAAATCCTGCAGACCACTAGTACGAATTTTGACTGACGGTGGCTTGCTGACATTGGTGGGAAAGTCGGTCCCATATTCCAGAGCTGCAGTAGTCACAGGACTGGCCCTTTGGTCATCCCGGAGCAGCTGCTCCTCCACCTGGGTGTACCAGCCTGCCATGGACTGGAGGAGCTGCTCCGGGATGACCGAAGGGCCAGTCCTGGGACTCCTGCAGCTCTGGAATATGGGATCGACTTTCCCACCAACGTCAGCAAGCCACCGCAGGGCGGATTTCCCTCCCCGCCGTTGGTCTTACCTTCCAGTTCCAACTCATGTGGCTCTAGTCAAGGTAAGGTTTGCACTTGGCTGAAGGGTGGGGGACAGTGGGTGGGTGGGCCATGTGGCAGGTGCAGCCTTGTGTCCCCGCCCAGCCTGGATGAATTGCTTTGGCGGGTGCTTTGAGGGGGAACATTTCTCTGTGGACCACCAGTGGTCCCCGAACCACCGGTTGGTGACCACTGTTATATGATGGGTTCTTATTTGCTTGTTGGAAGACCATCAGGAATTTGTGATGGTCTTCCAGGGTGATTTTGCTGAAGAATCTGCCAGTTGAAGGCATCTTGGGAAGCATCCATCCCAGATCATTTAAGAGTCAAAAGATCCCTTTTTGGCCCCAAATTTTCATGTGGGAACACCATTTCTTAACGATTTGCCCTAAAAGCACCTGGCCTGCCCCAACACAATTATGACAGAGGGTTGATCAAAATCAAATCATTGACAGAAAGATTATGCAAATAGCCACGCGTCCCTTCTGGCATGGTTCTCTACCACAGGTTAATAAATTCTAGATTAAGCTACCTGTCATGGAAAACATGAGAAATCCACACCCAGAACTTGATTTATCTCGAGTTATGTAAGATTCCTTCACTTGTTTCAAAGCCTTCCAGGCATCAGGGAAGACGCCAGGTGATACCATGGCAACCTATCAGGAAATAGCTGAAACTCTATTTCTTTGGGGTGCAGCGAGAAGAGATTGGGCTGCCATTTGTCAGAAATGGTGTCAGGTCGCCTGCTCGGGCAGGGGTTCGGACTAGATCAGAGGTCTCCAACCTTGGCAATTTTAAGACTGAGGACTTCAACTCCCAGAATTCCTCAGCCAGCTTGAATTCTGGGAGTTGAAGTCGACAAATCTTAAAGTTGCCATGGTTGGAGACCCCTGGACTAGATGACCTACAAGGTCTCTTCCAACTCTGTTAACAGAATCTAAACCCAGAACTGAGGACAAAAACTAAAGGTCACTGTTTTTTTTTAAAGAAGAAGAAAAAGAAGAAGAAGAAGAAGGAGGAGGAGGAGGAGGAGGAGAAGGAGAAGGAGAAGGAGAAGGAGAAGAGCAACCCAAACCATATCTGTTGGTGCTCTCCTTCTTTTAAAGTAGTCTTACCTGGACGAGGAAAATGACAAGAAAGTAGAAATTGGCAATTCTTCGGAACTGTTCAAACAGATTCTTGGGAAGAAAATTCCAGACTGTATACTGCAAGGCAGAAACAAGATGGGATACATCTTAATACCACAAAAGGGCAGATTTTATAGAACTCTTCTGGAATTGCTGAGCTCCAGATGTGTGTGGGGTTTTTGTAAACATTTTTTTTTTAAAGCATTCTTGATTTCTTTGAGAATGTATCCATCAACCCTACGAATTCTGTTAATTTAGACTATTACCAGCCCGCCAGGGAAAAAATACCATTTTCAAAATGACTTTGAAAAAGTAAAAATGCAAAGGTTAATGAATGTATATGCTCTAAATTTAATATTTAATATGAATTTAACATGCTGCAAAATTTTTGGCCCAAAAAGGAGATCAGGAAGTGTGATGGGGTGAACTGTTTGATTTGTTTATAGATTTTTAACCTCAGCTTCCTCAAAAAGGACAATTCTGTGGAAGTGCCGCATTAAAATGGAAAAGTAACTCAATAAACTACCTCAGGGTATAAAGCTTGGAAGAAAATGAACTAACCCAATGTTTATTAAACACACAAACGGACATAAATGCAAATACACATATATACAAATACACATACATATATAGAGTTGACCTTTCCTGAAATAAAATTAAAAGTCAGCAGTTACACTGAAAACTAGCCTAAAAAAAGATTGCAAAAAGCAGGTTTCTACTAACTGTGGTAGACAAGATTGTCCAAGCTGGTCCTTTTCTAAATCGGAAAACTTTGCAGGCTTTTGGGAAGTCTGGATACTGTCTCAGTTCTACAGCTGGGTTCAGCCAAAATTTAATCTGGCTGTTTGGAGGCCAACCTATTGTTTGAATGCAGCTGGCTTGGTCTCAACCATTCAAATAAGTAGAAAGGGGAGATATTTATTAATTGTACGAGTTATTCTTTAGCTTGTGCTAACTAAGCCACATTTTAGCGTGTTATGCGACCCCAGATTTTGTACTGTTTGGAATTAAAATCAGAAAACAATAGGGTTAGGTTCACTAATCAAGTTGAGACTCTAAAGCAGGGGTGTCCAATCTTGGCAACCTTAAGACCTGTGGACTTCAGCTCCCAGAAGTCCTCAGCCAGCCATGCTGAGGAATAGTTGGCTAAGGCTGCATTGAGTTGAAGTCTACAAGTTTTAAAAGTTGCCAAAGTTGGACAACCTTGCTCTAAACTCTTTGATACTGGAATTGCAAAACCAACAAGTGTGAAGATCTGAGGACCACCCCCATATCTTAAGTCAGACTACAGCTTCCATCATTCCCAACCAGCATGGGCTATAACCTGGGAAACCCTGGAAGGCAACCTGTTGTGGAAGGACCTTCTAATCTTGATATAAGGAGGCATTGCATGGATCACCCTCGAGCTGGCCATGGCGCAGAAGGATCCAACCAATCAAGTTCCATCAATCCATACCTTGGAGGAGACAATTTGATTGGAGCAGAACTTTTGGGGCACATAAGCTTCAATATGAGGAACCAAGTGGTGGCCAACCACTATAGTCCGAGTCCCAAATCGCTTTTCTTCCCCAGCGAACTAAAAAAACAAGAAAAAAAAACCCAATGAAATTGGCAATGATCCATATGTTTGTGTGTGTTAGTGTTCTTCGAATTGGATCTTCCACAAATGCAGATTTATGCGTGAAAGTTCCTTACCAATTAATAAAGTCAGTGATTTCTGGCAATGCCCTAATTAAATCATGACTCTCGAGTCAAGCTTCAAAAGAATCCTAAAGACTTATTAGGAGCAACATGTCAGTGTTATCCCACTTGAAACCAACTCTAACACACGTGATTTATGGTCACCTGTGACCCTGTTTTCCCCCCACCCCTTTGGGGGTATTATACATCAGATTCTCCAACAAAGCATGTTCACGGGCTGGGTGCCATCAATCACACTCTCCAATGAAGGATTTTCAGGGGCAGAAGATCCGGTAGCCTAGGCTACAATCTTTATAAGATAAGCATGGAATGTGCCTCTGGTTCTCCCCACCCTCTCCTTATGGCAACTCGGAAACAGGCATGCTTTACGAGTTGACAGGCAGCGTTCTCCAATTGGTGCTGTCATATTGTGCAGAGAGAACAAATCCCGCATTTGTCAGCTAAGATGTGTAGGCCAAGAACGGACAGCCACATCAATGCACTGACAGAACACCACATTGGAAGCATCTGGTTTGAACAGCAGCTGTTGAGCATGCCGTTCACATTGATTTCTGGGAAAATGTCCAACCGTTCTCACATCCGAGGAAAAGCAGTCTCTCCAATCTTGAGATATCCAGCAGAAGCTCCTCTCTCTCTCCCAAACAGCACTAATTCTGAATTATTTTTATTCTTTTAAAGCAGTGTCTAGAATTTCTAGGCATTGGATGATTTTGGTCTTTCTGACTATGCAGTTTTCCTGTTGCAACATTTGTGCGATAGGTAGTAATTGCAGGTTTTCCTCAACAGCAGAAAACCTTGTGCCAAAAATTGGCGGTGTTTCTCTCCCGTTTTCAATTCTAACCGAGCCATCCCACCCTTTTTTCCCTCCCTTCTTTTTTCTGTTTTAAAAAAGAAATGTGTATCCTGCCTTTCCATCCAAATGGACTCCACAGGGCAGCAAAGAACAACATCAAACCAAGAATTAGCACAGTAAATGTTTTGAAAATACCAAACACAAACACAAAAACATTCCCACACAGAGCTTCCAAACTGCAGAGGTAACAAAATGAAAGAGGTCAGTAGAATTCCCCAATCTCTGAAAACTGAATTATGTATGCATTTCACTGATCTGGAAAACATCCAGTGGGAAAAGATGGCCCCATTCATCTCTTGTCCCCCCTGTTTAGATGCTAAGATGGAAATTCAAAAGAACAATCTGGAAGCAAAGGCAACCCACTACCACATCGTTGTCAAGAAAACAACATAAACATGGGAACCGACAAGTGTTGTTCAACCGGATGGCATAACTGGTTTAGTTATGACTTCCAGCATGAACAGGAATGCTGGTCAGAAGTGAAAGGGCAACAGTTCATTTGATAAACTACCGATTTCTGAAGAACTCGGATTTAAAGATCCAGAGAACATCCATTTTAATTATCGTAATACCACCCCACAGCAGACCCGAAAGAACAAACGGACAATTCTGGACTTTTCTAGATCAAATGGAAATCCACCCAGAAGCCTGCCTGAATCCCAACAAGGCTGCCCAGAAGACCCAATTCTACCACCAACATAACAGACTCCAATCTCATGACAATATCTGCTGTACATCAGAAGCATCTTCACCAAAACCATCTTCCCCGGCATTATACGCAAGCACCTTCTCCCCCAGAAGCTTTCTAACCATTCTGGAGGCATCTCTAGTTAAGTTCTGCAGAAGTTCCTCAGTGCCAAACCCATTTTGAACAGGAGATGTTCCACTAAAAACAAACAAAAAACCAATTTTCTTCTGCAAGATGCCCTAACAGATAGCCATCAAGGCATGTTGTAGAGAATGCATGTGGGTTTGAAGCTGTACAGCTCAAAAATTGCCCCAGAATCAAGTTTGGTTTCAGAGATTCAAACTTTCCTAGTTGCGGAAAAGTTTCCACATGGTAGGTTTAGGTTTTAAAGTGCCAGGAAAGGAGGGAGGGAAGGGGAGAGAGAGAGAGAGACCTACTGTTGTTGATTCATAGTCCATCTTTATCCAGTCCGTAATGGAAAACGGAAAAGGACTCAGATAAAAAGGCAGAAACTTTGCAGTAAAGTTTTTTCTTTCCTATGACCTAGATAGTCTCTCTGGTTTCAGATTGGCTAAAGCTCCAGAATATTTTTGTGACTTAAGCATACACTCTCAAATGCTTCTCTGGAAAAAGCTGTTTGGAACCGTTAAAAAAAAAAAAGTCTAAGAATATGCCCTTCCTCTTTTGGCTTTGGTGAGGGAAGGATTCGTGGAAGTGATAAAATTATAGCGGGGTTGCCGGGAAGGTGGAAGGAAAGCCATCGCGCCAACAGCTCTCCAGGGCATCCTGAACAGGAAGATCTATGTCAACACAAAACCCTGGACATTTTGTGTGAGGCGAGGTCAGATTTCCTCATGGTTCTGTCATTGGACATTCCTGTTCCTTCCAACCCGTCTTTTTTAAAAAAAACTGTGAATATTAAATTCTTTGAAGAGCCTTCCAAGATATTTCCATGTGGAACGGAAACACACAAACACATAAACACTCACACAGATTTCCAGATTGCCAATTTTCATCTCTAGAGTAGAAACTGTATTTTAGTGTATCCATCTATCCTTTTCTTTCACTTTTCTTTATCTTTCTTTTTCTTTCTATTTTTCTTTCCTTCCTTCCTTCCTTCCTTCCTTCCTTCCTTCCTTCCTTCCTTCCTTCCCTCCCTCCCTCCCTCCCTCCCTCCCTCCCTATCATCTATCTCTCCACCCACCCACCAGGATGTTGGATGCCCAAACACCATAAAATTGAGGGCGACAAACTTTTTGGACTCCAAACTTGGATTCACACACACTGCTATCCTTGGCTTGCTTTAATCACAGTTTGTTCGAAGCTAAGCTTCAAATAAATGGGTTGGACCTGATGCTGGTAAGTTCTGGGCTACTTACTAAGCCAAACCGTAGTCTGCTTGGTTTATGTGTAGCTTGCTAACTGTATCTAACACAATTTAAGCCATGATTTAAGGCTCAGTGTGAGGCCTGAATTCAGGCATTTGTGACTGCCAGTAAACCCAGAGAAGCAAACATTGGTTTACTAAAACACATCAATTCCATCTCTGACTTATTATATTCCAAAGTCTCTATCAGAATCACAGTTAAGATTATGAAGGTGATCGCTGACTAATATGACACAAATATAAAATGAGATCAGATATTTCCCTTCTCTGTTTAATAAGTAGCCCCAAAATTTTGGGCTCCAGTTCCCATAAGCCACAACAGCCTGACCAGAGCAGACAAAACCACAGTCTGAAACACCCGAGGGAACTACATAGCCCATCTTACGTTAGGACTACCAAGTCCCCCCCCCCATGGTCAGTGTATCAACCCATCCCCTTGTACCGATTCACACGCCATTTAATTCATCTATCCCACCCTAATTATTGTCGTCCGCCTTTCAACTCTTCCAAAGATGGGAAGGCGGCTTACATATAATACAGAACAGAAACAATGCTTGTTAAAAACAATCTCAATGACTTTGATCTCAGCGCCTACCACTTCTGGTGGTTTGGGCTCCATGGAAGGTTCTGGAACAGCAATGGGGGAACCTTTGCTCTGGGGTACTCAGAGCCCACAAAGCTGGTCCAGCAGCAGCCAAGGTGGAGAGATGCTATTCCTGGGGAGGCGTTCCCATGACAACCAGCCAGCCCAGGACTGGCAGTTGGCTGTGGAATTCCAACATCCAGCATGAGAAAGAAAAAAAAATCTGGAAATGACCGTAGGAAACTTTTTTTTTTTTTTAAATTAAAAGATACAGGGACACATTTGTGCTGAGTTCAGTTTAATTCAAATTTGTAACACATACAAATCAGCTTGGTATATATATTGAGCCAATGAGGCTTTTAATAAGCTTCCTTCTCAGACGGAGATTGCTAAAGAGCAAGTTGCAAAAAAATATATCCTGACAAAGAAAAATAATTTCCAACCCAGCAATGGCTATTTTAAAGATCAGCAAAAATTCAGAATTCAGTTTGTCCTTTCTTTTCTTTTGAAAGCAGTGGCTTTTTAAATCGGGACAAAGTTGTCCTTTGGTTCTTACTACTTTCAATATTTTCAGGCTGAAAGGTTTTTCAATACTTAATCCGAATTTACCGAAGCAAGTTATTGGAACAGACTTCATAGGAATAGTTGTTTGTGGTGCTCTCTGAGCTTGGACATCTCGTTACCCAGCTAGGTGACATCAGTTTGACTTGAGGTTTGCTTATTGTTTATATATAGTAACCTGCCTTGCCAGTTTTGGCAGGAGTGAAGATCAGTGTATGGTTTACCGTTTGTTTGTTTGTCTGGAGTTTTTTTATCCCTGCTAATCTGGGCGTTGGGTGTTGAGCCATCTCAAACATTTGGAATAGAGAAATATGAATTTTCAAAACACCTCTGTCTTTAACTCCATAACTGTAGTGTGTGATTGTAAACAAAAGTCCAAAATTAAAAACAAGGCAAACTGAAATCATTCCCATAGATCTGTAACTAAGTTACTTGAGGGGGTAGAAGGGGTGGGGAATAAGTTATTTAGGAAAAAAAGGACATTTTTGTTTGAAAAACATCCCTTGGAAGAAGCTAATCTCTTCTAATTAAAATAGACAATGAAATGAACACATGACTTTCTCCTATGCATGTTTACACACCCAGCATATTTATTTTAACTCTTGAAAATATTTTCTGAAGAAAAAAAACATCCTTTTTTGCATTAAATTAATTCTTAAAAATAAAAATTGATGGGGAAACAACACAGAAAACGTATTTTTCATACTAAGAGTACACTTTGAACCTCAAGGAAAGTCTAATTTACTGACAGCACGTTTGCATAATATAAAGATCTATTGTTACAGGCAGAACTCAGGACTCAA